AAATAGCACTACAGTAATTAATCATGCTAAGGGCAATGAAAAAAGCATGACACGACGCGAATCTCCTGACATGGACGGAAAGCGGAAAGCGCACCCTGAGTAGAGGATGTTATCCACCAGCACGTCCATGGAACTGGAGGGCACGCCATCCCGCCTCAGGATTTGGTTGAAAAATCAAAGGTCCGCAAGGTCCGCCTGTGTAGAACCCCTGCTCCTCGTTTCCTTTTGGGAGGCGCGGGGACCAATGGCAATAACCAAGTTTGGCATCACTTTGGATTAGGTGGCCAACCAGTCAAGCAGTGCCCGGGGTCCGGTCGCCCTGCTCGACCCGGCTTTCGGTTGACACGCCCCGTTTGGCGCGAGGGCTCTGATCGTCCGCTTTCCCCCGTCTGGCGCGCGAGCGCGCGACTGCTGCATGAGACTTTCAGGCAGCTCCTTTTTGGCCTCTTAGGATGGCTGCCCCGAGTATTGCGCGAGATTGGGCCCGCAAGTTTGCACGCAGAACGTGATATATATATATATATATATAAACACGTCTTAAAACACCAAAAAACATATGTTGAGGTGTTCGCATTTTTTCGGAGGCCGCATGTTTGTTTCGTTGAATATGTCTTGGAGGCGGGGGGGAGGGTTCCTCCCCCCCTGTATCAGCACGGTGCGTTTACGCTGGCCTTCTGAAGCCTCTGAAGGGAGGCCTGAAGCAACACCGAAGCAGCTGTAAATATCACTCATCCTTCTGGTCAGCAACTTGGTGGCTGTTGTTTCTTCTCTCACAGGAAATGACCCCCCTGCAAAAAGCTTAACTTTTGGGGGGTTAATGTAAATCTAACTCATCCTTCTGGTCAAGAAACGAGGGAATGAGCCGTTTTGGGACTCCCCAATCAAGGAAACCATAGGGGATGGTGTACTAGTGGGGTTATTCCCTATACCCCTGAGCAGCAGCAAGTCATGTGTCGAGGTCTTTTCAAGGGTGGCGTTTGGGCCCCACCTTTGAAGGCGGGCCCGCCGATCGAACATCAACCGGTTTAGCTTTGATCCGGGGTTTCGACCGAAAAACTTTCACTTAGCCAAACCTGAAAGGCCCAGGCCAAAGCAAGAAGGCGGCCAGTGGATCTAGCTCGGGCAGAGCAATGCTCCGCAAGGAGGGCAAACAAGACTCTGAATTTGATAGTAGCTAGTGAAATTGGTGGGACCCGCGCCATGCAGCGAGGGAACCCCAATGAAACATTGTTTTGAGTCACTCATTGTAAGGACGCATTCGGCTCGCAACCAAAAGCACGGCGCCCGTGAACCGTCACCTCAGAAAGAACCCCACTGCAAAGTGGCCCAGATGCTGATGTTTCAACTTTCAATTGGATTCAATCCACTCCAAGAAAGATCTTTGTGGAGTCATTGTCCTCCAATTTCTCCATTTTGTGTAAAGTAGAGAGGTTAGAATAAGGGTACCCTTCTTTTCTGTAGTCTATTTTAGTAGGGGAACTCCTCCCCAAAAAAAGGGTAGAGAAGGGAACTACTAGGGGACCTGGACAAGGAACCCCCGCAACAAGACACGCCCATGGCTCTGATGTTCGAAGCCGCCGAGCCACAAGACTCGCATGACCTGCTGCTTGCGGTACCTCAGCTTCGCTGGATAGGATCCAGAGGACCGATTAATGGTGCCCATGGGGTTTGAAATCGTTTTATTTGTTTGTGTGTTTTTTTGGGGGGTTGGGGGCGGGCGGGCAGCCGCGCACCACGAACTAGGAAAACGGACCATGCGACAGTCTGACAACCGACGGCATCAAACTTGCAAAGATGGCATTGCTGCCCAAACAACATTTGAAGCATGAATATGTTCAGCTTGTCTGACACCATCCATGTACCCTGTTTGTTGCACTGTTGTACACGCTTGTTAGTACATAGGGGGTCCTTAGAAAAAATGGGGGGGCAGTGCAGAAATGATGTTGTGCTGATATGCAACTTGCCGACCCTTGCGCATGTCCAGCACACGCCAGGTGGCTTCTTGCAACCTCCCAGCGAACATGAACCAAGCCAACCCCCATGCCCATCATGTTGACCTCCAAGCTCAGCCACTCCGCGTTTTGTGTTCAAGACAAGCGGCACTTGATCCAACGCAGGTGCCCCCTGTGACTCAAAATCAAGCGCACTGAATCAGAAGGGGTGTGTTTTGCATTCGCCTGGGTGTTACCAGGCAGTCGCAGGTATGCTGAAGGTAGATAGTTTTCCCAGGCAGTTGCAGCTCTACCTCGTACTTGGTGAACCTCATGAAGTGAAATCCAAGGACTACGCGGCTTCACCAACCCAATTGGTGCGGAGTTGCTTCGTCCATGTCTGGGTGTGCCCGTCTTGTGGGTGCCCTTTTGTAGGAAGCCAACTGGAAACAAATTCATGAGAGGGACCCCACGAGACAAAAACACATACCCCACGCCTGGTAACATCGGCTACCAGTTCAACCTGGAAAAGCTAAAAGGGCGGAGATCCACACCAGAGCGCGGAGATCAACCCCAACCCCCCTCATCCCCCGGCTCCCCGCAGCTGGTTGAAGTCTTTTGGCATTTGAAGGTGGTGGACACTCTAAGTCTACATCCAGCCAACCAACCCAACCAACCAACCAGCCAGCCAGCCATCCATCCATCCATCCATGAATCTCTCCATGGAAAGCTCTTGGATCCAACACGGCCTTTGGTTTCCTCCAACGCCCGAGCCCTCTGCAAACAAAACCTGGGCCCTGAGGTCGAGGCCCAATGGCTTGAGCTTCCCCCAGCAGCCGCTTCCTCTCCTCCAAAGACCGCGGTTTTGTGACCAGAAATCGGCGCTCTCCGTGGTCGGAAGGAACGCCCCCCAAAGGCTGGGCCAAGTCGTGGGCACCCCCCGTGAACCTCCCAATCGGGTGGTGCACCTACCCCAAAATGGTGCCATGGGTTTTGACCCACAGCCACAGCCTCAAAGTTGCGCCAAGTGGGTGAAAACCCAGAAATGGCACCGACTCGAGGCAAAACCCAGCCAAAGTAGAAAATGAAGAAGCCATGCGCCCAGCCCTCCCCAAAGTTTGCACTGCACGTGCCTTCAAATTGGACTGCTGAAAACTGGACGGCACTTCTCCCAACTGAGAAGAAAAACCGTGCCACCAGGAGTTCCCAAACCAGGAGTTCCCAAAAGAATTCAATCCGCTTGTAACGGAGCAACATCCTGGTACGCGCGTGTTGCCCCACAAGTGAGCTTGCCATGAAGCTGGCTCGCAGAACAAATCCACCGGGCCTGGGTGGGGACTCAACAAATGCAACCCTGGTTCTGATTTCCGACGCCTGGTAGCATAGCAAAACACAGTTTTGTCGGAAGCCGCAAACACGCACTGCGCTGCAAATGCTCACCAGGCGCACTACGCTCAGCATGGGGCCACAGGGAACTGAGGGGTTCATTCATTGACCTTTCGCAAAGCTTAAACCTGGGTGTCACCCTGGTTAGTCCTCGGTTGCTTTTTGCTCCCTTGCTAAAAGTGTAACTTTTAGTAGTTTAATGGAAAACCCATCAGTTGGCAAAAAAGTTAAAGTCCTAACAGCCAAGCAAAATGCACCAAAGAGTCTACTACAAATGATGGAACCCGGCGAAAATCGGAGAAACCCCCGGAACTGAGTGTCACCCTGGTTAAGCCTACTACACCTGATGGAACCCGGTGAAAATCGGAGGAACCCTCTTAACCCCAGCCAAGCTGCCTCCTGCATAAAGAGCGGCAGGGCGTCCTCCTCTCGCTTGACCGGCCTCGAGACTCGACATCCGTTTTGCCGCTGGGCTGGGAGCATCTCAGCTGGAATCAACCGCCTGCTGTTTGGCTAGGTCCTCCAGTGGAGAGGTTAGAAGAAGTTGGTACCAACTCTTTCCGGCAGTCTATTGTAGAAGCGCTGCCCTCCACCAAAACAATTGGTAAAAGGGCACTACTGCGGGACCTAGGTATGGACGAAGTCCGTTCGCACCATGAAATGAAACCATGGTTGCAACCATTGTTTCTTGATATGTGCAGGGGAATCATCGATCCAGTATTTCTGAGGTGGTGCAGGAGTTCGTCGCACATCCACAGTATCAACTGGAAAGTGGTGTTGACATACAATATTGCACTTGGAGTCTCCATGACCCTTAAAAAATGGGGTCATTACCCTAAATCATGGGGTCATGGGCCTATTTTTAGTTCGGGTCATGGAGACTCCAAATAGACATCCATCACGGATGTCTATGGGTTCCGGAGTGGTTTCGGGCTGCTTCGGGGCCCTGATTTGGGACCTGGGAAACTCGAGCTTTTGTGCCACATTACTTGAACACTTTGCATTCGCCCTTTTTTTAAGACTTTTGACCTCTTTTCGACTGAGAGCCACCCTGAATGGGTCTTGGAGGTGTGGATCATGGCGCGTTTGGAGCAGGTTTTGTTTGATGGTCTGGAAAGGGGTTTTGGAGGAGTCTTGGAGGTGTTCGAAAGTTTGCCACCGATACGGGCTATGGGTTTGTCTCAAAGTTAGGGTCCAGCTGTGTGGGCCACTTTGCTTTGAAACCAACGAGGGGCTCCCAAAGAAAGAGAGAAACACAGCCATATGCCTCTCAACGTGGCATTTCTGCTCCCATACCTCGAGAGCCCATACCCGAAATTCGCTATGGCAAGAGACCCCCGCCAACCACGGCAAGCGTCAAGAGGGTGCTTTCGCTTTCGCCTGCTTTTTGCCGAGGCAAGCAGAAATACCAACTACAAACCCGAAACCTCGGATTCCAATGGCCTGACCATCAGTTGACCTAAGGGCAAAGATGCAAAATGGCATCATTTCCAGTCACATCGATGTGTGGATTGCCCAAGCAGGACACCAAACGCAGACAAGATGACATAGACAACTGTGGAGGGAAGGTGAGCAAATCTTAGTAGCTGCTGGTAGTCTCAGGCGAAAGACTTCAATGTTTGGAGATGGATGCTCATTGGAGGTGACAAAGCCCCCCAATTGTTGCCTGACGCAACGCCTGCTTCAGCAGTTCGCAAGTTTCTGCGAGGGCCGAACCTGAGTCAAAGTCAGAGGTCCCTTCAAACCCATGTCAACACGACAAATCAACAGCAAAGGCACTGCAGCCTTGAACTACCCCCAAGCACAATGTAAACAGAAATCAACATCCAGCTATAGATAACTTATCAATATCAATATGCACACATATATATATATAAATATATATAAATAAATATATATATACATTTGTATATTATTATGCGTGTTCGGTATGCGAGCTGTTTTTGTGCAACCACATAGGCACACATTTAACATGTATATATGCACACTTCTGTGGCCGGCTGTAGTTTTAGGGCATTCGCTTTCAAGCTTCCCGTGAGACAAACAGGAAAACCGCAACTTCGGGGCTCCGTCTATTTTGACATAAGCCAATGTATGCCTGATGGTTGTTGAGTTCTACTCACCCGAACATCTGAGCCAAGGTGCTTGTACACTTCCTCCTCCGAGGAGGAAGACACATCCACCTGCGGAAATCCAAAAAAAACAACGAATCCTTGGCCAACGTTCAAGCCAAAAAAAACAGCTAGAAAGGTTCTAAGAACTTCTAGGCTTGGGGGGCCGGTTGCTTCACTAATCGGGACTTTGCTTGGCCACTGTTCAATCCAACACCTAGCAGTTGAATGCTGCTTACCACGGTTTAGTCGTGGGCAAAGATGTAAGTTGGAACGAAACATTGACCGATTTGATGGCAACCCAGCATCTATAAAGCCAGGGTTTATACAAGCATGTTGGGTTCAGTCCTCCCATACATCTATTTCCCTTACTACCGACAACTGGCAAGGGCGCCTGTATTGGGGTGACGCTTCCCTTTTTCTATAGGTTCTTGGGGGGAGTTGGTACAATATCCCAAGCAGCCCATCCAGCTGAAACACAGGCCGGCCTGCTGCAAATCGTCCTCCTCTTCCTCCTCCTCGTCCTTGTTCAAACTCCTCGGTACGGATAGGCGAACCTTCGCACATCTCAGATTAGAAACTTCCCCAAGGGAGCGACCGCCGATTGTCTTGGTTTCGGATGTGTAGAGTTTCAGGTGCATAGGATTTCCATCGGATTTTTCATCCTTACAAAGTCGAAAGCGCAAGAGGCTTGGCAGGCGAGTCCCGACCTGCCATAAGAATTGGAGGACCATGAGCGTGCCGTACCCCCAAAGCGGCGAGCTGTAGCATTGGCAGCTGCATGTATGAACCCTGGTGTGACCCATGTTGATTGATCATTTCTTGGCCATTGCGGCATTCAGTCGAGAGATGATGTGCATTCCTGGTGTCAAGTAGGGGGACGTAAAATGCCTGTCCAGTGGTTGCTGCCTCTTGGGATGAACACTTTCGGGCTAGTTCGCACTGTCTTCACGTACACCAAAAATCCGGAAACCCATGGTGAAGCGGCCCCGGAAGGTGATGTGGGTTTGTCTAATAGACCTAACTACCTTAAGGGGGGGGGGGGGGTAGGGGGGGGGGAGTACAGGCATTCATAATCTATTGGGGAACCCTGAAATGGATGGCAGCCTTTTGGTTTCCCCATGCTTCCCTTCAAACCAACCGGGCTATTTCGAACAGGGATCCCCGTTTTGTCCCTTCCCAAACGACACCCATCTGGGTTTGTCTCAAAATAGGGGAATCCTGAAATGGATGGTTTCCTTTTGATGTCCCGTCAAACCAAGCAACAAAGGCACCCCACCCCTCCCCAATGGACCAACACAGGTTTTCGATAAACACCTGTGGCATCCACTGTGCCCAATGTGACGTTTGAATCACCCAAATCTAGGGACCCTGCCTTGCTTCCATTTGCTTAAGCCCCCTGAGAAAAATACAACACATTTCCAGTAGTGATAGATTCCCTTGAAAGTCAAAAAGGGAAAAGAAACAACTCTTAAGATCTCTTAAGCAAATGAAAGCTTGCACCCAGGAAAAGATCCCCGATTCTCCGCTGAGCAGGGCACAGGTGTGAGCTCATCACGCTCTCTCCGCCTGGCCATCTCCGCGTTTAACTCTGGGAAGCAGGCACCTGAGACTTGACCCCCTACACCCTATGCCTGCTTTTCTTAGGGGGATTTGCGGCATCAAAAGCGAACGTATTTCATTTCCACGGAACTCCGGCTTCTTGAGAAACTAGGTCCTTCAGTAGAGAGCTTAGAATATAAGGGTACCAACTTTTTTCTGTAGTCTATTTTAGTAGCGGAACCCTGCCAACCAAAAAAGGGTAAAAGGGCACGGACCTAGGAAATAGACCCTTGCCCATGCATAAACCAGGTATTTGGAGCAAAGGTTTGAGTGAGGCTTGGAGCTGTTAGTGAGGCTTGGAGCTGTTCGGGGGTGCCTTTTCCCTTCAAATCCCTCTAAACGGTGGCTTATATTAAAGGCAAAGAACGCCAGAAGTAATTTTGAGAAATGTTGACCCCGGATAATTTTTCATGGATAGGGGATGGGGCTCCTGCAAAAGTTGCTTGAATCCCCACCTTCACGAGCCGAAACCCCCTACACTCAACCAGGATTTCAATTTTTGTTGGGGTCAACTAACAAGGCCTTTCAAATGACGACTTCCGGAAAATGTTGATGAAGAGCTCCCAAAAGTCGTCGCATCAAATTTCACCCAACGCATCCGCCCCTTTCAGCGCCTTCCAAGGTGCCGTTCGTGGGCTGGCGCTGGATCGAGGGCACCGAGCCGGAGCCAGCGGTTTCCTGCGGGATGTTCTTCCCGCCGAAAGAGGCGAGTCGAGTGCGGCCAGTCCATTGGGGGGTCCTGGGGGGTCGGAACCTCTGATCCAAACCAACTTGGAAAACACAAACTCGGATTTTTTGCAATAAACAGCCCCTGGCAGTCTACACGATTTCAACCACCCCTGGCCTTCTTCTAGAGCATGTCTTGTGAAGCACGTGCGTGTTGTCATGTACGCTGGATGCCCCCAGCCATGTTGCATGAACCAACAACATGCACGTTTGAAAACCATGGCAACTTTCAAGAACCATGGCAAACTACGGGTGAATTTCGGGGAAATCAGTTTTTGTTTTGTTTGGCTCCCCCCCCTAAAGGCCTAAAGCCCCAAGATTGTCTTTTTTGTGCGGGCCTTGAATCAAACCAGGCCTCTGCGAATCTTGGGCGCCCAGGATCCACATGGTTTTCTGGGGCCCCCCGCCTTGGAGCTGTCCTGGCGCTTCGTGGTCCTCAGTCTCGCTCCGAACAAAGCGGATCCCCGCTGACCCGGGGCCCCCTGGAAACCCGAAGCTCCGATTCTCATTCCCTTCTGACATTCTTCGCTTTTTCTCTCGCCCCGGGAAAAATGAGAAGATGCTCGTCCAGTGACATCGAGTCCCTTTAAAACCAACAGGGGAAAATAAACACATATTCTTGAGCAAATGGACGTGTTGTAGGTAACGATGTAAACACCAAAGGGAAAATGGGTTGCTTGTTGGTTCCACCTTGCACAGGCCAATGTTTGGGGGGTCCTTGCTTTTCAGGCAGGACATGTGAACACTCGGTGGCCGCTTGGGTCTGTGTGAGGAGTTTTGGTTGCCCCACCAAACCAACAGTAGACAACCGTATAAGCGACTTCTATGAGCCAGGGTCCAGGTACCTGGGCAATAGCGGACTTATCTGCGGCTTCACCTTGTTATAGTACATTCAGGCATCTTCGAACACTTCCATCGCTGGACTCTCCCAGAAAGTCAGCGGCATGTTTGCTAGCTCTGGCGAGCAATCCCCGAACTAGATCGCATGCAAGGCTACTCAGTGGGTCCCATTGAAGTAACATCCGCGACGGTACCCTCTAAATGTGGTTTTAAGGGAAGCCACCCCTTAAAGCCTCAAAATGTTCGCTTTGAGGGATGCCAGGGTGATGTTTGCAGCCCCCGCTTGAAACACGAACAGAACCCAGCTAACCAGCACGCGAAAACAATTTCAAGTCAACAACTTGCGAATTGGGTATGTGGCCAGATAAGCGGAAAGTCCAACATGGACTCGGCCTTTCCTTTTGCTCCCCTTCCAAAAATGGGTGCCCAGCCTCAAACAACGGCACGCCCAATTGGCCAGGCTAGTGGTGAACATAAATCCGCCGAGTTCAAATACCGCCGAGAGACCCCAATGAAAATTCACAACCAACAAGTACATTCCTAATTGGATGGGCAAGTTGTAACCAGGTTTCTCGCGCCTATCCAACGCCCAGTTCTGAATTCGGCTTCCCTTTTGTCAGGTATCCCCTAGTTGGTTTGGGTTGGTGGTTGGGCCTTGAAACCCCTAACTTTTGCGGGGGGACGGGAAACCCCCGGAAAACCACCAAACCACCACACCAAACCACCAGGTAGAAGATTTTCGGTGTGACCAAAGCGATTCGAGCGGCTGCACGGTCGCCATCACCTTCTCCCGCGCCACCCGGTCCGCGGTGCGCTGCTTGGCCAGGTTGAGCTCCTTCCCCAAACCCCAGCGAAAACCCAAAAATCTGTGCAGCCCCTTCTCACTTCCCGGGTTTTATGGCCCAAACAAGCAACCAAACTGTTTTTTTTTTTTTTTTTTTTAAAAAAAAAATGTTTATTTACCGCCAAAATGGCCACCAAACCCCAAAAAGTACCCTCCCACCATCTGACATGGGAGTGCAAAAAGGCAAGTTTGGCTTGGTGGTTTTGACCTTAGGCACTGGAAGCTGCCAATCCAAACCACCATTGAGGGTACCTGACAGACAAAAAGCAACACCACACGTCGAGAGTAGCATAGAACCACAAAAAGCAGCCATCTTAGAATCTGTGAGGGGCCTGCGAAGCAGCCCGAAAGGATCTTCCAAGAAGGTTCTAAGATCCTTTCCAGGGTTCTTGTCTTGTTTTGGAGCCTGAGGTGCGCTTAGGTTCCACACCAAGTCTGAGATGCCGATCGTTTCCACCAACCCTAGTTTTTGGCACTGCTCAAGTGAGACGGACCCCCCCCCCCTCGCGGGCCTTTTCTTGAAACCACCAGGAAGCGCCCAAACTATGACCTTTTCACTCTCGCCTGAAATGAATGAACCATGGAACCTAACGGTCTACTAATAAGCACGTCGCTCACTCATCCCTTTTGGACTTTGCAGTGCATACGCCAAAAAAAACACCGTGTTTTGGATTAAGAATTGAACAAGTCTGCGCTTCAAAACCCATTGAAGTGTAAAATCGTTCACGGAATCGAACGGTCTACATCATAGGAAGAGGGTGCAGGGACACCTGAAAACCAATCATCATGAGATCATTGATGTGTCATTAGCTCTTTAGCCCCTTGTGAAGCGGGAAATCCATACCCTTGGGCTTTTCACCACTAGCGAAGCCAAAGAAAGTGATGGGAGACTCGTTGCGAACAGAACTGGGACTGAACACCGTCCGGGTCACTTCTTGGGGTGACGAAAAATGGGCCAACGGAAAACAGGATCAAATCCGGTCGTTGGGCTTTGGGCGAGCAAATGAGTAGACCAAAGCCCGAAAGATGTCCCAAGTCGTTGAAACGTAGAGTTTCATCCCCTTACATTGGCCCACTTTATGGTTCCTCCTTTGATTCCGGCTTCGGGTTCCACACAGCTCGCCGCAATCTGAGAGCCGGACTCCCTTGGCAGCCTTTGGAAGGGGCGTCGGGAACCTCGCGGTAGGGATACACCAAGGGCAACTGAAGCTTGCTAGAATGCAGAAACCTGACTGAGGGACACCCTGAGACAAGTTGAAAAAATGCATGTTCAATTGAGGCGCGTGATTACACATCCAAGGCTGTCTGAGCCGCGCGCGGCTCGCCGAACTTGTTCTCGAACCTCTCCAAGCCTGGCAGAGATTGGATTGGAAGCTGCAAGTCCGCTTTTGGGACGAAAGTTGAAGCACCCTATAGGACTCAAATATTTATCCGATCATCTCAAATGGTTGGCTATTGACATCTTTCCAAAGGTTGGCCAAAGGAGTAAAATTGCTGAGGCCTGTTTCTCGAAAATCAAACGGCACAATCCAATGCAAAAATTGGAAAGCTGCGGAACCTTCATCGGTCTTACCCAGGGCTGTGGGAAATGCCCACTGTGATACAATCAAGAGTGCTTCCCACAGACGAAAACCCCATACAAGGGGGGAGATGGGGAGATTCCAACTTGTGTCACAAAGTGGTTGGGATAAACCCCGAGTGATCCCACAACCCTGGTCTTACCTGCAGCTCATTCTTTCAGCTTCCCTCTGGTGGTGTCGGAGACCTGTGGTTTGAAGCCCGGTGTTCCGGGGCTTCTCATCCACCGAATAAACACGTTCAAGTCCGAAGCCAAACCACCAACTAAAAGGTGACCTGAACGAAACCTCGGTTGCTTTCTGCTCCCCTGCTAGAAGCTTCACTTTTGGTGGTTAAATGTCAAAAAAACATTTGTTTGCAAACAGCTAAAGTCCTAACATCCCTTGGCAAAATGCACCAAAGACACCATCCGCAAGGCAGCCTAGTCACTGGAAGTCACTCGAAAGAAGCAAAAACAAAACTCGAGTGAACTCCAAGCCTCGAGGCTTCACACCGAGCATGCGGTAGTACCTGGCGTGCGAGCTGGAGGCCTCTAAGCTCTGGCCTTTTGCGCGCAAAACACGAAGGCCGGCCCAAATGCATCCTGGACGGTGGGGTACCCCAAAATCCCGGCCACCCGGCCAAGGGGAAGCAAAGAGAGCCATGGCCCAGACCAGGCGGCCACAGCCGAGAACGGTAGCACCCAAGCGCCGCGGGGCACAGCACAATCTCCCGAGGAAGTTCCTGGCAACCAAAAAAAACTCGCGGATTGCTCGGACCAAGTGGCCTGAGATGTTGCGACTGTGCGCACGTTTTCGGAAATTCCGCGGTGTTCAGCCAAGCCGGGTTTGCCTTGGGCCCCCAAGGAGACTGACATGTTCATCTTGGGTGTCAAGGGCTGTTCTAACCAAATGATGCCGACAGATTTGCTGACCTGGGCAGAGCTTCCGCAAGACTTGGCACACTTCCCTTTTCGTGGATATGTAAAGACGACCAAACCATGAGGGGACTGTTACATCCACTTCCGCCGTAAATCTCAAACTGGAGTTGAGCGAACCCTCGAAGGTCTGACGTCTTTATCGGATGGCTCACCTCGGATTGACACTTAATTGTCATGGACCACCGAGGGGGAGGTGGGGCTATCAATCCAGCCTTCAGGGCTTAAGCATCCTACTCCAGAAACCACTGCCTACATCCCCGGGCAGTGGCTAGGCGACCAAAAAGGTCCATCTCGAACGGTCTCTCCAAAAAGCGAAGGGTTCAGGAACCTACTGGAGACACCCGCACAGCCACTGTTTTTGTTCCCATCGCTTGAATACGAGCCAAAACGTGAGGAACACAATGTGTTACTTGCGGGCTGTGGGGATGAGAATCCTGAGGTCAGCACTGCAAGGGTTGCTGCAACCAGCCCTTCGTGGTCAGTCTCGTACCTCCGATACGCCAGGCTCTGCTCATGCGCAAAGGGACAAACATTGGGTGATGAACAACACAACAACCAAACAACATCGGGGGTAAATACGTGCTGCATGGCTAGTCACAAACCTCATGCCACACTTTGCCCTGGGGGTAGTGGAACTTTGAGTCTTGCCAACAAGTGAAAAAGCCTTGTGGTTTGCTGGCTAAAGGTACACTTACGATGGAATACTGTGGATGGACGAAATCCTGCAGCACCTACGAAATCATGGAATGATGACCCCACACCAACAAAGGTTTCAACCATGGTTTCATTTCGTGGTGCGAACGGATTTCGTCCATCCAATGTATGTCATATACACCTCACAAATCCTCTGGAAACCGCCACGGGAACTAAGGCCTGAGAATGGAAGCTGTCTGGGCGCGGATTCATCGGGCACAGCGGTAAAGAATAAGCGTGCCTTCAGAACGGGTCCCTTAAACGATGCACGCAAAAACACCTAGCACAGCTCAAATAGAATTCCAAAATCATCTCTGATTCTCACTTCCTGGTTGGCCAAAAAAGTCCAAACTCAGTGTCGCGAGTCTCCAGAATTGACCCAGACACATATAGAGTGCGCACCATAGGACCGCACCTGAAGCGGGAGGGTCCCCAATTTGATCTATCTAGTATTCCCATGGAATGGAAAATGGAATTGACTTCTTTTTTGGGGGGGATGGCAACCTCCCTCGTTGCGCTGCTTTTCTCCCTCCGATTCGGACGGCCGCTGCTTTTCCTCCCGCTAGAGATCCTGGGCGACTGTGCGGAAGTAGATGCGGTCCAAGCGCCGGAGCCTCCGGAGAAAAACGCCCGCGGGCGTGCCAGGGAATTTCCAGAAAAGGCGGCCTGTTCGGTGGATTCGTGCTGGGAGGGTTCTCCATGTGAAAATTTGGAGTCGCCAGGCCTCCTTTTGGAAATAACACCTGTGATGCTTAAGTTGGAAATATAGGGAACCCTTCTGGACCCATGAGGAGGTTCTCAAAATAGGATTCGATTTTTAACATGGTAGGTGTCCTCCTGGTTCCTTTGTACACCCAAACAGCGTTCCAGCTGGTGCGAAGTGGAGTTACTGATTCGCAATATGCATAGATTCATGTAAACCCTCTAGCCGGGCCAGGGGCGCCGGATGCTGGAATGGAGAGCTGGACTGAGAAAACAAAAAGCAGCTCATCAGTGGGCTTTGGCGAGCCGCTATGTTCTTCACTTTTCTTTGCCGGGGGGAGCCATCAAAGGGACATTTAAAATGACCTCCATCCACGTGCAAGCTCGACACGCAGCTGCGGCTGACTTTTTGGGGCTGACAGCACTCTGTTGCCTTAAGTCCGCACTAGGTTGTAGCTTGCTCTGGAACAAAAACAAGTTCAAGGAACTCTGCGCGTAACGCGGCAGAACACACCAAAGAGCACATAAGTACAAAGAGGAGAGGGGAGAAAATCGCGTGGATCCAAATGGAGCCGAGCCAATAGCGACGAGCGCAGCGAACGAGTTGCGAGCACAAGGAGCTCGGCGGTGGGGGTGGACGCGATTCGCAGGTGCCCGCAAAGAAACGTCATCTTCCGACGCCACGTGCGAAAATCGAGCACAGCGAGGCGATCACTGGCTAGAGAGCCTCCAGAAAACCAGGTTTATCAACGGCAAATACCTGTTTGTATTCATCAGGGGTTTGCCTGGCACCCTCCAAAATGGGCACATCGTTGGGTGTAGGGGGTGTTCTTGTCTGATCAAGAAACCGGCGCGCGTGGTGCACGAGCATCCGGTCCGCCCAGTTCCGAGACCTCAGCGCTCAGAAAGCAGACTTTGAGGCAAAGTTGGTGTGGCACTGGACATGGTTGGAGTTAATTTCCTCCTTGTAAGGTGAATTTCAGTACCAGGCGCTTGCGCTACGGCTCTCGTCCAAAATGAGGCCCCCTTTGTTCCCAGGCAACGTTGCAATTTCGGAGTAAGGACCTTGAATAGCGGAAACCTTGGCCATGGTCGGATTTGCTCTGGTGTTGAATGATTGTTAAAATCGGGCCAGTATCGGGTTTGTGTTGGTTTGGTATGGTCTAGCATGGGTTTAAACAACTGGACTGCCCTTAGTGTTGGCAAATGCTGATGTTATCATGATAAGACGTTTGGGATATGGGGAGGTAGCATTAATGTGCAAAGTGCTTCTTTTGTGCCAAAAGGAAAAGAGATTTACCTGTGATGAGCCTGGGATGGGCAATCAGCCTGTCGCAGCAAACAACCCCTTTCCGGGCAAGTTTTGGTGATGCTTGGGTGCTAACACATGGGCCCTAGACGCCGCGCGCAATGACTGTGGTTGGCCCAGCCCTGGTAGGAACTGATTCTAATGTACTGCCATCTCCTGCAAAGCAGGCGGAGCCGTGCGAGCGTGATCAAACACGTCCAAAACAAGTAATCCCCTCTTAGATCCCCCTGGGCAAACTGCGGCGGCCAAGCCGTGGGGCTGGCATCAACGCCCGACGTGCGCAAAACCAAGCACAAATGCGTGAGATCGCGCGAAAGCGAGCGCGCAGCCTTGTCAAACTTCGTGTCTTGCGCATTCTTGCGCCATTCGGATTGCAAGCAGCTGGGCAATAATTATAGCCTCTCATCCTTGTTTTGCAGCCCAGTTTATATGGATGTGCGGACAGGAGTATCCCCAACCAAAACCAAAACTGGTGTAAGTAAAACAAAGCTGCAACCATATCTGGTGCAAAGCTAAACTAAAACCAAAACTGGCCAAACTAAAGCCGAAACTGGTTTAAACCAGACTAAAACCAAAACTGGTGTAAAACCAAACTGCAACCGTATCTGGTGTAAAGCTAAACTAAAACCGAAACTGTCGTAAAACCTTGCAAAAAACGAAACTGGCGTAAAACCACAAGAATGGAATCCAAACTACTTTCAAACCACAGTTGGTGTCTGAGTCTGAGTGGGTCCTTCCCAGGGCAGCCAAAGGATTGGAAGTCAGCCTTGTGAGACGGGGTTGCGACCCAAGGATTCGGATTGAATGTTTCCCAGGGCGACCTACAGGGCTCCCTATATGTCCCCTTAAAACATCACACCCACCAAGGGATACTCACTTTCATGGGCCAAAAAGGTGATGTTTAAAACCTCCAAAAAGGAAATATCGGGACGTACAGAACGGTGGAGGGTGTCCTGGCTCTGTTTGTATCTACAAGACGTCACCAGGATCCGGATAGTCCGGATCCAATCCGCCCCCGCCCAAATGGTCGCGCAAATGGGCGATGGCTAAATTCAGCCAACAGAAAAAGAGAGCGGTTTGCTCAGACCATGTCCACTGCTTTGTGCTTGCCACTGGCTGAAACCATCCAACCCAAAACTGCCCCACTGTTTGCACCACGACCTACGCACTGATGTTCCCTTGGCTCAACGTTGGCCGCTGTTTCAAACAGCAAGAATAAGGACTGAACCAACCCGTTGAAACTGCTACGATGCGGGAAAGAAGTGTGGATAACGATGGCAAATGATTAAAGCCCGGGGGAAAAACACCGGCGCCATCAACTTTCCAACTGCCGCAATCTTACAACCTTTATAAGTTTGATCGAGTTACAAACTTGGTCAGAACTTTAGGAACTTGAAGCCACTTCAAAGATCTTCACAAACCGCGCAGCTGCGAAAAAAGCTGCTGGCCACTCGGGCGTCGGCTTCTGTGTTTGTGGGTCGAAATTCCCTCACCGAGCTTCCCCTTAGAAAATAACCGTTTAACCTTCTGACTACCAGAAAGGGGCAGCCAACAAAAGCTCACTTCTGGGCAACTTAGTTGCAAGCTCTTCAGCCCTTCGCCTCCGTGCCCCTCCAATTTCGGCCCAAGGGGCCTCAGCTCGGCGGCCAGGGATGCCGACAGATTCACCGGGTTGACGCGGAAGGGCTGCAGCTTCCTTCCGAAACAAAAAGAAGGTTTTCCAAGGCTCCCCTTTCAGAGGTTGCTTTGAAGGAACCCCTTTGAAGTTTCTTCAACTTACGGGCGTATGATGGCGTATGTTCCTTTTAGGGGGTGCCACATATGGTTTGAAAGGCAACCCAGCAGGAAACCACGATTCGTTTGAGACGCTTTTTTGTTGGGGAGGGGGGGGTCCCACTATTCAAAGGCCCCGTTTGGTGCGTTTGTTTTTTGCGGACGCCGTTTTTCTGATTGTTTTGATTCGGGTGTTCAAGGGAACTTAACAAGGAATGCCGCCTTTTTGTTTATCATTTGTGTATTTATGTCATTCTACATCTCTTTTTTGGGGGGGTGCCGTGGAGGGCGTACTCGCCCCACTTTGTTTGTTTGTCTTTTTGTTTGTTTGTTTGTTTGTTTGTTTGTTTGTTTGTTCTAAGGATGGCCTACCCCCAAACCACATCCCGCAGGGGACAACCGGGTATATGTGTGATATCATGGCGGTATACTGGCTGTGCATCCCTTAAAGCTCTGAAAGTAGTGCAGGCCTTCTTGGGTGGGCGCAAATGATCTGTGAACACGTGCAATCCTTCTTGGGGGTACCAACTTTTGAACTTACTTTAAGGAACAACACGCCATGATAAAGATCCGTTACTTGGGTAGCCTTTATTTCTTCTGGTTTTGGAACCCCAAAGGCTCCTGGCTTTGGCTTTCAATGGAAGACCCCCTTCCCCTCCATTAGACGCCCCGCTTCGGTGGTTGGGGGTCTCATCGAATTGGAGCCTCCGGGTAGGGGTTTTACCATGCTGCCGTTGTTTGGGGAATGTCAAACGCCAAAGGCTCCGGAGGCCTGCCATGCAAACATCCCAACCAGACCCAATCCAATTCCTCAGCCCTTCAGGAAAAAAAAACTCCGCATAGCTGAAATCTGAAATGCTTGATTAAGTGACTTCCAGGGAAATGCACATGTTGCCTTGGGGCATGGATGAAATGGTGTGGTGTGAACAGGCCACTTTCTGCTTTCCACCATGCATTGGGGAGTTCGTCCGGAGGCATGAGTGCGCCAAGACCTTAACGCCTTCAAAATGGGGCCAGGCCAGGGGTTGACTGGCTAAACCAAATTCGCACGACAAGGGTGTTCAAACCGACACCCTTGAAAACCGCCCGAGTGACCTCCTCTGGCCCGGCATCCAGCAGGGATTTTCCAAGGCAACCCGCCCCCCCCCCCCACCCGCTCGCTTTGCTTCGTTTGCGACCTGGTTGAGTTTAAAGGGTGGTCTGGGAATCCGCTGTGGGCTTCAACCTTTCCATCGCTTTACTCACCGAAGGAGTGGATGGGCCGATGCAAGTAACCAAACTTGTTGGTCCAAGCCACTAACATGGCCCAATCCCCCCAAAAAAGAACTCAGGGAGTTTAGTGAGGTGCAGGCTGCCAAGCGCGAGGTGAGGCCCTTGCCTTTTTGTCTCTATACGATCGTTCGGACAAATGGTGCGCCGGCAGTGAGAATCAGCCCTTGGCAGCCCAACATCTTAACAGAACCGCTAAAAGAGCTGAGGAACCACCGAAAAGGGGGGATAGACAAGTTACCGGGAAACTCTACGTAAAAACGTCCGGGTTTGGGTAGACCACAAGGTCTAAACCCCGATCTGGGAAATCATTTGACGCCCATCGTGCTGTCCAAAAAACTAACCAACAAAGCAGTCCCTGGGAACCACTAGAAGCAAGCCAAAAGCAGGCAGGAAGCAAAGAAGCCAAAAGGAAACACACGAATGCAAAAACAACACCGGAAACAAACAACGCCAATATACGCACTTGCTCAAAGGACCCAAAAACAAAAGGTAAACCTTTTGGGCTTTTGGGATCCAACTAAGACCAATAGGTCAAAAGGTCGGTTTGGGACAGTGAGCGTACCACATCCAACAAGAATCATAATATACAATTGAAACACACAATGAAACACCAAAGGGGCACCGCGAAAAACCAAGAATCTGCTATCCCTCACTTGGTGGCTCGAGTGGTGGTTTGGACTTGCTTTCGAACCCATTCTTGCTTTCAGGGTAAGTGGTCAGACCTTTGAAGCTGAAAGGCGTCAAAGAGAACGAGGTCGCATCAAATGACAAATGAGTTCGGTGGTTGGCCGAGGCTCTCGTCCCCAAAGTTGCGGTGGGATATGAAGGGGAAGCCGCCGCTTTCTTCCTGGCTGCGAAGGCTGCGGGGGCCAAATTGTTCAGCTTCTCTCTAGTGATTTGTAACTTGGATTGAAATTGATTTGGTGGTTTGCGAGTGGTCTCTCTACAAGATCCGGTTCAAATTCAAATCCAAACCACACAAACCACATGAGTGGAGCAAGCCTGCTTATTGTTGAAGAGAACAGAGCCGCAACGTGGCCCACATTGAAATCGATTGCCAGCTGTTTTGGAGGAACCGGCTCTTTGTGAAGCAGGTGGCCTTTGCATTCTACCGAGCACAAGCGAAGTTAAGGGCAACGGGTCCCATGTTGAAAAGGGCACCCTTGAAAATCCAGACAGCCGGGAAGGATGAAAACGGCTCTCAATAGACATTTTGTGTCGCCCTGGGAAGTGGGGCCACAATGCTTAAGCAGCCCTTTCAACACTCGCTTCCGATGTGGATTGCCCAAACAAGTAGCCAAGCTTTTGGATGCCACTAAAATGGTCTTCGTAAGCAACACAAAGTGCAGGAACTCGGGAAGTGAGGACAACAAACAACATGTGGACCATTTGACCAACAAAAACAAGGTTCAAAAGGAACCCGATGCTTGCATGTGCTTCATATGCTATCCTCTGTAAAAACGGATGACCAGTGTCCGGCTGTTCCTCAAACCCTTGAAATAAACACGCCTTCTGTGGCAGCTGCAGGGCAAGCCGCAGTAGCTCCTGGCCGTGACACCGAGGGGTTCTGGACCAAAATTGGTAAAGCAAAGGAAGCGATTCAGCTTCCAGCTTGCCTCAGCTTTATTAAAGAACCCTTGAGCCCCCATTTGCTTTTCCGCCCCCTGAAAAACTGAAAAACTGAAAAACTGAGAGATTCCCGTTAAAAAACCAACAAAACTTGAGCAAATGGAAGCCAGGAAGCACCCCGGTTTTCTATGGCCATGGCTGGGTTTCGGGCGCTAATGGGACGCCCCAAGGGGCACGCCGCGAAACCAACACATCGCCTGGTCCGACGCGTCGAGGCCGTGGCGCCCGGAGACGGGCAAAATCACGTCGAACCTCGACGTAAAACAAGAAGCCGACGGGGAAACGATCGAACAAAAATCGGGTTCTGTGGGTATGCGTCAAAAAAGGGGAGTTGGACCCATGAAATTGTGGCTTTCCCTTTTGGCCTGTGTTGCCTGGGAACCAAAATTATGGCAGTTCACGTGGCTCCCCTATTGCACATCTCACTACCCGCCCCATGCAAACCAGGTTGCCCCTCAATGGAACCCGAGTGTGACTAGGAACTTTTGGCTGTTTTCCACATCTTTCGTGCCACATCTGTGGCTTTTCACAACCCGCCCCTTCTCACTTCCCGACTGGATGGCCCAAAAAAGTGACCACACGTTCAGTATTTGCCGCTAAAATGGCCACCAAGCCCCAAGAAGTACCCTCCAACCAACTAACATGCAAAAATACCCTTTCCAAGAGGAAAGTCGTCTTTCTACAGCTGCCCATCCCGTTACGGCCGAAACATCCTGTTTGTGGCGAAGGACTGTCATGTGTCATGGACCCCGTTCGTCTAGGGCTACCTTCCCCCTTTCTTAATTTCCAGGGATCCTTATTTCTCGGAAACCTCCGGAAACCCTGGGACACGGATCCGGTTTTCGAAAAGAAAAAACATGTTTGGAAGAAATCAACCCCTAGAACTCTTGTCTTCTTCATTTTTCTCGGTTCTCACTTGTATAAACATATAATCAACCCTTAGGCTTAGGGGTTTCGCTACGGTGGGGCTACCCATTGGTTTAAACATGTTTAAACCATTGAAAATTAATAAGGATGTCTTGTGAAGCTGGTGTTTAAGCCATATTTTGCCCCACCCTGGGCTTTGGAAGAACCAAGGTAAGGGTTCCCCTCAAGCGGCGCGGCTTCTCGATCGAAGGCCCAAGGGGCTGCTCCAGCACCGCCTTGGCCGCCGCGAGGCGCGCTCCCGCTCCGCCGTCCTCCAGGTAGGCCAGGCCGCCTGGGGCCAGCGCGCGGCAGCCGAGTGGATCCGCGGGGGGGGGGGGTGGTCTGGTGCGTTTTGCCTGGCTGGTGCCATAGAAGCGGCTGGAAGAAGGAAGCTCGGAAACCAGTTGTTGGTGGTTTCCTCTAAGAAAACTGCTGGGTTTGTTCCCACACCCCCTGAGCACCAGCAAGGCTTGTTTGGGTTGAGAATACTGCGGCTTGCAGGTGCCATAGAAGAGGCTGGGAATCAGAAATGGAATCAGACATATTTGTGGTTCCCGCATTCCCTACTGAGCACCAGCAAGGCTTGTTTTGGGTTGAACATACCGTGCACAAACTCTACACCGGTGGCTGATCCTTGCATCAGGGCTTCATCCACACACCATGCGGTAAGTAATTAGGTGGTATATCCGTGGATTCATAGGGAAGCGTCCATCACTGGTGCCACGAGGAGATTGTCCACCCTCCATCTCGCAAAGGGAATCTTTGAGGTAAACCAGAGTTAGGCGATTCAACCCCTGGAACCATGGTATCAGCCACTACCTTTGGTTTCCTCTACGTACAGGCCAACTGTTTCTTCAAGCATGTGCTGCACAACCCTGGCCACCCTGCTCAGGTTTCCCCATCCTCCCGGATTTCCCCCCTCATTTGGTGTTTCAAATCGGGATGCCTTCTTGAAGTTCAAGCCAGCCCATTTCGCACTAGACAGAGGGCTGTATGGACTCAAACATGGAACCGATATGTTTTGCGGGGTGCGTCATAAGTGATTGCTGTATTTGTTTTTAGGCCTACCGGGGCGACGTCAGTAAAGAGTCTGTCTTGAAGCTTTTAGCTTAGGCCCTCTTAAAAGTTGTTGTGCAACCCCAGATCCCAGCAGACGTCCCACACTCATCAGGGCCCCTTAAAGGACGCAGGCTGAGGCCAGTCAGAACACCACCTTTCCAGCTGACTTGGGGGATCGATCCGGTTCCTTGTCAACCAGGTGTTCGGGTGCATCCTTTACCAACGGTCTTAAATCCCAGGGATGAACAGCTCATCTGTTTGTTTTAGCTCTAGCCCCCCCCAAAATGAAGACAATGCAACTTCAAAAGTCTGAAAATTTGGGTTCTATGGACAAGCCTTCACCCCTAGAAACATCTTAAAGCTTCTGTTGTTTAACTCACTTCCTGAGATGGGCCAACAAAAGTCCCATTCTTGGTGCTTACTACTTCCAAACGTTGGGGTCCAGGAAGTCAGAAAGCTTCCCGAAGTCAAAACAGCCTTTGGCTTCTTGACGGGATTCAGCTAAAACCACGAGTCAGCTTAAGGGGTGTTGGCTCATGTCAACTTTCTGAGATTTTTTTTTGGGTGGTTTGGAGTTTACGGGGGGTGCTTTCCCATGTGCCGTCTACAAGAAGGGGTTCAAGTCCTCACTTCCGAAAGAGTGGATGGGCCAAAACAAGTCCCATCAAGTTTTCGCGTAAGCCACTAAAATGATCCAAACCCAAAAACTGACCAAAGTCCGAAACGGAACTCAGGAAGCGAATTAACAACCTCCTAAGGGAACCAGCCCAGCTCGGACGGAAGTGAGAGGCCCGAAGCCACAAGTGGCTCTGGATGTTTCTGGGGACCCTTTTTCATGATTAGACTTAGGCAACCAGTTATAGAACGTAACATCTATGGTTTGCTTCCCTTTTGGTCACCGGTAAAATGTAAAATGTACCAATCTACCCCAGTTTTGGTCGGTTTTAGGAGGAACCGCTAGTCGCAAGCCCACCTGAAATTCTGGCGGCTAGCGGGCCTCCTGCGCCCGCCAGGCTCCTCACCTGATAGTTGCTGGCCATGCCCAGCCACAGCTCCAGCCAATCTACCTCAGGAGACGTCTTTGCTCACTTGCCCCGGAAAAACCCGGAAAGGCAAAGGCGAACCTTTTCGTGGCATGACTAAAAATGGCAACCCAAAAATCCAAAGGTGTGGGCCTCGAAATTGATCTTCCAGGTACCCTCCCAGAGTTGCTGTGTTAATAAAAGAGAGGTTCACCTTTTGGGCCCATGACTGAAAATGAGAACCCAAGAAGGGACAAGCAAAAGGTCAAAATGTTGATTCGCTTTGGGCAACAGAATTTATGACAGCGGAGATGGATTGCTCATTTCCGCTTCTAGCATTGTGAAAAATTGCTGCAGGTGCCTGAACATCTCCCCCAAACCCAGGCAAAATCCTCAGGCGAGCTTGGGGATCCTCAAACATGGCCGCTTTTTCAGGCCCCGCCATTGATCCATTGAAGGCCCCTTAGGGTTCGCTTGCAGCTTTTCATTCTCTAGCCCCTGTTCCCAGTCCCCGAAGTCCCCACTCAGACATGGGGCTCAAAAAGCTGGAGGTATGATCAACTTTCCTGACGTGCGGGCGAAGAGCAATGAAACCCACGCCTGGGGTACGCAAAACATTGTTTTCTGATTCTGGTCCATTTTTTTGCATGTCTCAAATTAGGGAACCCCACCCACCCACCCAAATACGTGGCTACTGTTCAGCTTCCCTTCGAAACCACGCATTAGAGAAGTTCCCTAACAGCAAGCCACATTGGCCAACCCTAAAACATAGGCATATGCATAGACAAACACATAGACAAATATGGAACAATTTCGGAGGCTCCATATGATGATCGACTACAGGTTCCAGCCGAGCTTGGGCTTCTCGGCTTCCCTTTGAAGCCAAGTTAATGTTGACTCCTGGTTGCACCAAACATTGAGGTGGTCATCGACTCAAACTCACACGTCAAGTCGAGCAAGCAAAGCCACTACCCAACTTCCCTCTAGTTGAGCTTTGTAGGGCCAGCTTGGGGTTCCCCAATGAAACCACCTCCAAAAATCGAACCTTCCAACAACAAACACGACACCCCAAAATAAGCCAATTGAAACAGAAATGGCTGGACTAGTTGAAGTGGACACCACCTGCGACAGGATAGTCGGAGATTTTAAGATGAATGATGAGTTCTCAAATTAATACATGGGAGGAATGATGGGAAAATCTTTGACATTTAAAATAAACCTGCATGCTTCCCGGCTTCCCGACTTCCCGACTTCCGACCTCCCAACCCCCCATTGGCTTTTCTCATCTTTTCTCCCCAAGGCGCGTGCCAGGTGTCCGGCCCCCCCTGGCCGATGGCCGAGGCGTTCCGCCAGAGCAGCGGCCGCCGCGCGGCGCGGCGCTGCCGGAGCTTGTGGCGCAGCTCCTAGCGAGAAATGGACCAAGTGGAAGGCGGCTGCTCGTGCGCGAAGTGGGGAAAATGGGTTGGACTGAACTTTTTGTGTTTTTTGGGGGGGACTCCCTTGAACAGAAAACCCGTTGTTTCGAATTTGGGATCCAGAAGTGGCCACGACTTGGGTGCTGTAGATCCCCCCGCAAAAAGTCTAAGTTTCTGGGTGCGCTCAAGCTGTTTGACCCTTTGGTGTTCCAGTCGTTTTTGAGTTAAGGCTCTAAAACCTTCAAAGTAGGAAATTTGTTGGGATGAACTTCTTTTTGTGGGATTCCCGTGAAAAGAAAACCACCAGTTAGATGGTTTATAGGCATAGGGGTTATTTCCCTGCTGTTGGTGTCTTCTCCGGTGCTGTAGATCCCCCAGCAAAAAGTTTAACTGTTTGCTGGTTTCTCAGGAAATATGAGGGGTATCCAACAAGTTACAATAGCAGTAGAGTCTTCGTGTGCGAAGTAGGGAAGCGGAGATCCAGATGACGGTCAGTTGCCAGCCTCGACGCGTAGACTCTGCGCAAGAGGAAGTGAAAGAATGAATAAATGCCAGGGAATGAGTTGGAATAAGCCGTTTTTAGATTTTCTTGGAGAAAAATCACCAGTTGGATGGTTGTTTTTCGGGGTTATTCCCTCAGTCGCTGAGCACCAGCAAGTCTTTCCAGCCCTGTTTGGAGTGTATTTCGGCGGTTGCTCCCCAAATGGCCATGGCTAACTTTTCCCATTGAGTGGGTGGCTTTTCTTAGTGGATTTCCCCAATGGTAATCCCATGTAAAGGACCTTTTGAGCAACCCCCATTTTGCCGTAGTGGACGGTGATCTTATTTATCTTTTGCCTTGCATTTGAATGCTGCTGGTAGACGACAAGGGTATGTCAAAATGTGGATTTGGACCCCAAAATGGCATATCTACCGATCTTCATCTTGGCTTCCCTTCAAACACACAAACACACATGCGTTCAAAGGGAAGGGAAAGGGAAACCAAAACAACATTTCAATTGTAAGGTCCTGCCAGTTCAAGCTCCATTTTCCCTCGGGGTGTTTACTTTCAATCCCAGTGCTTCTATTTAGCTGTAGGCATCTGGCGAGGTAAGACATAGTCTGTTCACACTCTGTTTCACCTTCAAGTGCACCAACACATAAATCCTGCGGAGACCCCGCAGGAAACCAAGCGGACCACCCTTGGAACAAGGCTGGTGCTGGAAACAGAGATCCACGAGGCCGTGGGTTCAAAAGCAATATGGTGTGTTTCGTTCAGAGGCCCCTCTAAATGCTGGTGTTCCCTTTGGTTTCCCTGCAAGCCATCCTGAAAAGGAGTACGCTCAAAAAAATGCTCCCTGAACAAAAACACACACACAATGTTCTATGTTGACCCCGGGGTGATCAGGTGTTCTCCTCTGCGAAGCCACCTCCAGGAGTAAACAAAAATCCCCGTTCCCATGACGTGGGCATACTCCACCAAGAAGCCCCTTATGTGGGTTGCATACAGGACAACTGCTTCCATGAGGCGATCGCCTCGTGGCTACTGGAGGACAAAACCTAGCCTTGGCCTCCAATTCCCGGTGTTCCACGAATCTAATATTTGGATTGGCGGTTTAGTGGTTGAGGAAGTGGTGTCCTATGCACCCTGCACAAGAAGCAAAGAGACATGGTAGGGGAAAATTGCATTTTTGAGATACCAAGTGGGTCATCCCTATGACTACTGTATCACGTCAAAGGGGGTTCTCTTAATATCACAGAAACGTGGCCCGCCTTCATTCCTTTGGTACAACCCAGAAACCAACAATATTGACCCCCGGACGAATACACCCGTCCAATTGATATGGGGGTGTTCCCTCCAAGAGTGATGAATGTTTCGCCAAACGGAAAGAGACCACCCCCCCACCAAAAAAAAGACAAAGAGACCGGGCTTTTTGATCATCAGGGGTTTCCATTTATGTCCCACGCCTTGTGACTTCCCATCCTTTCAAACCTCGAGAACATCTCCTCGTAGCGGAAGAGGCTCCAAAGACGTTGTGGCAGGTCCTCTGCCTGTCTCTGCCTAGCGCATGCCCAAAACACCGAAGCGCCGCCGGGCTGCCAAGCCCATTTTGGACCAGCCCCAAGGGCCAGAAGGCGTGAACCCCCCAATTTCCATGATTTTGAGGTCGTTGGTTGGGACCAGCCGCTGTACCTCCAAAGAAACCAACGCTTTAGGCATAACTCCCAGACCCTTACCTGATCCACTCGCCAAATGGCTCCCTCACGGGGGCAAGTCTAGGGAACCCATAGGCCACGAGATGGCGCCTTCGGCTCTCCACTCTTCAGCTCTTCGCTTTGGTTCGGACTCCAAGGCCCGAGGTTTGAACAACTGGGCCACTCACACCCCATGTTGGCCATTTTGGTGGATGGCAACGTGTATGCCACCCAAGACTTGTGAAATCAAACGTTGCGCCCGAAGCTTTTTCGGGGTGGCGCCCCTCCCCGTAAAGTGGGCAAGTCCAGAGAGTTAATTTCCCACAGATGCTGCGAGGGCTTCACCACGATCAGTGCAGAAGCCAGAATGAAGGACTGCTCCAAGAGTTTTTTCGACCAGAAGGCTGAACGTATGGACCCACTTGACCTTAAAAAGGGAGCAACAATCTAAGTTTTAGCAGTTCAGTGGGTGGAAATCCAACCACTAACCACAAAAAGCAAAAATCTAAGCTGTTTCCCAACCTAGGAACCCCCAGTCGCTGAAGCCAGCGGACCCACTCGTGAAGCCCTTCCCACCATCCGGCTGGTGGTTCACATTCGAGGAGAGACATTTCAGGCGCATGGGCGGAAAAAGGTCACCACACTTCTTGTCGAAGCCACTTGGTCTTCCATCCTTGAGGGGTTTTGGGGGAGGGGGAGAAAGTGGTTTGTGCCAGCACTTGTAGGGCTTCATCCATCCCAACGAATTTGTCATCTACAGTATCACGTTCAAATTTCGGGTCATAGAGATTCCTCAAATGCACAAAATTATGTCACTATCTCATCCTTGTCCCCGACTAAAGCACAAACGCTGAACTCCGTGCCTGGACAGATTGCAAGACTCATGGGAACCCCAGATCAACAACCCCTGGTTGATGCTATTTGGCGGTTGCCCCAGGCAAGACAGAACCCCTCAATGTGTGGAGAATCCCCTCTTTGTATCCCTTTGGTTGATTTCGGGGTTGGCATTGCAAGCCGCCGCTGACTGTTTGGTCTAAACGACACACAAATTGGCCATTCGCAACTTTCCACTTTGGCCACTGCCCCCTGAACCAAAAACGCTTAACTTTGTGCTCCCGGGTCGCTCTGGCGATGGTTGGTCCGAACAAGTTCAAGGCAAGAGCAGCCTCGCTTACCTCACTTGCCCCCAAAAAGGGACCAAAAAACGACCGCCTTGCGGAACCTTTTTTGCCAAAATGAAAACCAATGGGCATAAAACCAAAAGGGCATTTCAGGGATTCGCATGGATTCGCATCCATGTTTGGCTAGGTCCTCCAGTAGAGTGGATAGAATCAGGGCACCAACTTTCATCTGTATGCTCTATTTTAGTGGGGGAAGCCTCCCCCAAAAAAAGAAGCGGTAAAAGGGCACCTAGCTGCGGGGCCTAGTTGGGCCCAGTAATCACTATCCTGCTCCCTCTGCACTCGTCAGACAGGAGCGGGCCTCGCCTCAGAGCTTCCGCAATGGCCTCACCCAACGCGAGGCCTTGGTCACTCTTCAGCCCCCGGCGGGTTTGGTCCAGCCCTGGAATGGCTATAACCTGAACCGAAGCGATGAAATTCGTGACCAGCTTAGCTTCATTCCCGAATCTGAGTGTAGTGTTGACTCTCACTCAGTTGGCGAACAGTTCTTCAGCTAGAATCGGATGAGACTTCGATGGCGAGTTCCTAGCGAGCCAGCCAGTTGGCTTGTCAGCCATCTGAGTGAGCTCGAGCAGCATGGATGCTCTAGCTTTCGATTACAAGAGCAACCATCAATTCGCGCAACACAACTCTTCCTACCGCTTGCCAGCCTGCTTCATTATGTACAAATGTAAGTTGAGTAACTTAGGGTCTCCTGATTTTTCCTGATTTCGGACACATGCCCTCGTGTGCTCGCAGTAGCTTCCGTGAAAAAGAACAACAGCTATATGCAAATCCCCGACCTACATCATGGCTTCCTTCGTTTGACTTCCGAATGAATCGAATCGCATGAAGAAATCAGCCGATATGTCAGAGCAGCGGAAGTAGAGGAACTTGTGCTGGAACTGATGAAGGACTCGCGGAACCTCGGAATGCGTGCGGTTTTCTCGGATTGCGAGGTGAATCAGCTCAAGTTACCCCAACAGCTACTCAGTTGCCCCGGGATCCTGAAATGAAAGGCGTTGAGACCTTGACTAAACATACACCAAAATGGGAAAGCAAAGGGTGACAAGGTCAATTCGCTTTGCTCAGCAACAACAGCCATGGGCCATGGGGTCAAAAATCCATTCCTCAAGCCCTGGTCTCATGCGAATCTTCGGAAAAGCATCCCAAGCTTGAACTCACTTCCCCTCAGCGGATTTGCCAACGATCGCCTTGACTTAGTACATCCTTTCTGCCATCATCAAAATAGTACATCACCCGCCCTATCTCTCTCGTACCTATCTCCGTCCCATAAGCGTTAACCTAAAACATATAAGGACTTTTTAGAAGGTACCCTTGTCTTGGTTGACGTTGGAAGGGGAGCAACATAAATAGAATTTTAGCATTTCAGTGGGGATTTCAACCACTAAACCACAATAAGCAAACATGTAAAATGTTGCCCAACAACAACCATGTCGGTGGTTGTTCTTTTGCAGGGGGGCCAAAGGGACGCCCAATGTGTGGGCGCTTCACTGTGCTTGGCAACGGATGCATGGGGAGAGGTTGCGCAACGAGTGAAAGAGCTCGGGACACGCTGCATTTTCATTTGCCAGGGTGACATTTTGGGTGCCTTTTTTGGGCAGCCATTTTTGTTGCTTGCCCCCCCCCCCCCCTCTCCCCCCTCCCCCCCCTCCCCCCCCTCCCCCCCCTAAAAAAAAAACAAAGACACAAAATTTGCGGAGCAACTAAACAGTCAGACCCCACGCAACGGGTCTTGGACTGGATTGCTCAAAAGTCTGTCCAAACATTTGGTTTGCCACAGGTCAGCTTCCCCTCCTTGGATTGGAGGTTTGGAGACGTTCTGGCATGGTTTCCCATTTGCCCTTCAAATGAGCCAGGGGTTCAAATCCCCAAACCACCATCCAAGTCACCCACTGGGTACCTGAACAGTTGCCTTCCCCTCAACACATGAGTCCAGAAACTCCATCAGTGGAGGGAGAAATCCGGCCCAACACTGGGAAGTGACATCTTCAAAAAATTCCCCGCACTGCGGGTTCCGCGTGGGTGTAAAATGCATCATCCCACAGAGTTGAACCAGCACCTGGAGGTCTAAGTCAATGTGGGACTCCAGTAAACCACTCGTTGCCGCGATCAAGTGGGTTCCTTCAGGTGGCCGCAGGGGCTTAGTTCCTTGACAAACCCGGCGGTTGCCATGTGACACTCCAGGGAAACCAGTTCAAGCTTCACATCCTGCATGTCACTCTCACTTGCGCAAGGGACCCAACAATGAAACGTTCACCTTTTGGAACCCAAGCTAAGCATAAACACGAGACAACCAAAATAAGGTCAGATCCGGGCCACGCACTTTCATGCGGGCAGATTTGCTCGCCAGCCTGAATCAAAACCCAAAAAGCACGGCGCCCTTCGTGCAAAGAAGGCACGCTGCTGGGCGAAAAAGAGTACAGCCGGCCTCCAACGCCTTAAAGGAAGAAGAGTACCGAGGCTCCAAGAAGACACACCCGTAATTGCACTATTGGTGTGGCAAACCATATCCAGTCTCTGACTTCCGAACGAGGGGACTATCCAAAAAAAAGAGAGTAGCTAAAAACGTCTTCTGTGCCGCCAAGAATTGCTCCAAACCCAAAAAGTGACCATCAAGTCCAGAAATTCTGTGAGCCTCGTCTATCCTGCTGTCCCTGCAGCACCCGCAACTGCGGCCACGGCGCCGGGTCCCGTAGCGCCACCACGTACTGAAAGTCCTCGCAGAGCGGCAGATCCAGCCACCTCTCCACGGAGAACCACGTCCTGGAGCCGTGGATGCCCAACATGGGTGGCTCGTCCTCTATTTTTAGGGGGCTATCCCAAAATGGATTGTGGCGTCCCAATAAACACCAGAAAACAACTGGTTCACCGCGGCTTTGCAGGTTTATATTGCGGTACTTGGGGCGCCCCTCCAACCCCTCAAGGTGTGTTGACACCAGGCCCTGGTTGCCTTCAAAAACCGCAGGGCACCCCCCCCCCCTTCCGAGCCTCCTCCTTTTTGGGGTCTTCATATATTGCTTCCCCATGACTCTCAGCCCACTTGTGCACTTGCGGGCTATAGATGAGTCAGGTGGTTACTGTCCCCAAGTGAGTCCTCGTGAGATGTATCCCAAGGGGTACTGATGTTGTGGTAAGTTTAAACGTCGAATTTCCGCCTGCTCCAAGGTGAACATGCCCCCTTGTACATTCATGACAATTGTCCAATCCAACCGACAAAACAAAATTGCCAGCTAGGCTTTCTTACAAAGCCAACCAACCCCTTACCAACCCTGTCAAAGCAACAGCTATATAATGTTACCACATATTCACCTGCGCATAGTTCAATCAACTGTGTGTTTGGCCATCAGCCAGCACTGACAGCACGGCTTTGAGTTTTGGAAGACTACCATCCTCTTGAAGATGCCTCCTGTCTAGCTTGCTTCTGAACAAGTCAAGGCCATGGGCACTGGAGGTCTGGGCCAAAAAAGAAAAAAGAAGCCCGAAGCAACCTGCGAACCCAGCGGTTTCCGGGGCTTTCTTCGGCGTATCTCGGGGAAACCGTGGGAAACCACAAGGAGCTGCTTGAACTGCAGAACTTCAACAGATTAATATGTGCTGGTTACCAGCCGCGCAACTTGCCTAGGCAATAAGCCGTCAAAAAGACTTGTCTCTTAGACCAGCGCTGACTCGTGGAATTGAAGGAAGGCGTGAAGACACTTGTTCTCTCGGAAGTGAGATGCGGATCCTGACGGGAAGGGTGCGGCTTCAGGGGACAACAGGCGTTTTCGCCCGACGTCGCAACCATTGGTTCCACTGGCGGATTTTTTTTTCGAGGGCTATGAAGATCCGAGAGAACCCTGGCGTTCTCAGGGGGTTTAGGTTCCCTGGCTTTGGGGGATACTATGATACCCTTCTCTAGTGGTTCCGTATGGATGTGGCTTTGGCCTTTCTCCAATTGTCCTCGAAAACAGCTCAAAACCTTGAAAAGACATGCCGACATAAATCCCCACTGCATACTTTCACTTTCTGATTGGGATGGCCCTTAAAAAACGGCACTTCAAACTTGCTGGCCACCGACTGGCTCGAAACCTAAAAAACGACCCAAGTCCGAAACAGAACTCAGGAAGTGAGACACACACGCACACACGTATGGCTTTGGCCAAGTCAGTCGTGCCGTTGTCGTCGAGCTCCAAGCGCCGCTGCCCGCCTAGCGAGCATCTTTGACCAAAAGCACAAGTTCTCTACCCAGAGGCTCCCGATAGATTTAGGGGGCCTGCAACCACCGAAGCGGCCTGTCTAATGGAGGGGTCGGGTCTTCCATTGAAAGCCAAAGCCAAAGCCAGTAGCTGGGTATCTTTTTAGTGCGCCCCCCTATTGCTGTTGGTTTCTCTTCAACCCCCACCCAACAAAGTATACCACTAAGAACAGGAAACACCCACAGGTAGCAGTCGGCTTGTCCATTGCTTTTAGCAACAGGAGGAGGTCTAGACAGTTTGGTGCTTTCAACATGTTGAAGGCGGCACAACCGAGGGCACACATACTGTTTATACAAGAAGTACAACACGAAATGGTCCATTCATAGGGTCCTACACGGCATGCCCCGGGCAAAAGGTAGGAGGCTGAAATGAATGCGAGTTGTTGATTGATTTGCAGCTACCTGTTCAATCTGAAAAAGGTACTCATTTAAAGTAAGCTCCCCTTTAAATTGGCCCACGCAGTGACGTGGGATCCTTCCCCCTTGTCTGGGACAGCGAAAGGAGGAACCACCCTGTCACGACCCCAATCAGGGGAGCTACCGGCATTTCGACAGAGAGTAGGGTACCGGACGAAAGAACGGCTTGGCAAGTCCATCATGTTCGTCCCTAAACTGTTCCAACCCCAAAGCTGTAAACATCCTGTCAGTCACTCAGAAAGGTGTGTGTGTGTGTGGAGACCCCCACCCCCCCCAAAAAAGGAAAAACAGCTATATGTGGTGTTTTTGAGCTTTCTGTGAGAAAGAGCAACCTCAAAAGGAGGAGCCTTAAAGAAAGATACACCCGGAAAAAGGAGGACCCCAACCTTCCCCCGCCCGGACCGCCCAAGTGGAGCGCTCCGAAAGCTCACCGAGTGGCAGGTGGCGGGAATGGCCCTGGAGCCGATCCAATAAGGGCCGTCGCCGGCCCAGTTCTGGTTCTCTTGGCCCCGGACCTGCGGGCTTCCTTGAGGCAGTTCGTTGCCAGGTGGCTTCCCTTGAGCTCCCCAAACCCCCAGATGTCTGATCCACCTTGGGCCCTGAAATCAGTGCTGAGAAGTATTGAAGTACTACTGGGACACATCGCCCCTGGGTTTGCCGCCAGGATTTTCAACGCGATTTCCCCCAAATTGTGACAAGTGGAAGCCCCGGGGGATAACCGGCTTTGGGTTTTTTGTTGGAGCCAAACGGGATGCCGGAAAGAAAGGCGCGCAACTTTCAAGTCTTCCCCAAAAGGGGCAACTGAGACTTTGGGCTGACAAAAAAACCGTTCATTTGCGAATACGGCCCCTGGGCATGAGCAAAAACATCTCACTTCTGACCGATTGGCCAGAAAAAGTCACCAAACTTTCTGCTTGCCAGTAAAATGGTCTTTCCAAAAGTGACTATAGAGTCCATGAACTCAGGAACTGAGATGTTCAGTAGTGAAACCGATCCCCTGTGAAACCAACAGAAAAACTATTCAGTTCGCCGAATGCATTGTGCAGGAACTCGATGGCAGGGCTCAAGCCAACGTTCTTTTTAAACAAGCCGAGGGGAAACCAACAGGAAAACCGAGGCCATTGCGCGGGTCCCCGAAAAATTCCATGTCCGTAAGCAGAACTCCCAAAAAGGCTCCGCAAGGCTCCTTGCTGAAGAAAAACAACTTCGAGACCCCCAGCTCCGGAACGGCTCCCTTCCAACCACCAGCTCAAAACAGAAAACACTCAGATTCGCCCATAGCCACTGAATTAAACAGGCGGATCTCCGCACCGGCTTCTGGCTGCTGCCCCTAACCTTCATCTGCGCGTGGATTAAGCTTAAGGAGCTGGGATTGCGCAGGTTTTAAGGTCTACCTTCCCATAAATCCCAGGGCTCCATTTTGGATCCCCGGCTACGTACTCCAGATTTGAGAGGCTAGAATAAGGGTACCAACTTTGCTTTCTGTACTCCATAATGTAGAAGTGGAACCCCCTCCCAACCAAAAAAAAGGACAGGGGTGAGAAAGGGCGCCAATTGCTGGACGCTTTGGGGACCTGACCTAGCCCATGCTTGCGCCCGCCCCCAGCCCCGCCCTCCGCCGGGATTCGGCCTGGAAGCCTTGGGTCTCGGCCCAGCTCTTCAGGGCGCTGCCCGCCGTCTTGGGCACGTGGAGCTGCCTCAGCGATTCCATCCAAGCGTCCTTCCAGCTGCTTGGGTGAAGGGAGTGCGGGTGGGGGTGAGCGTGAGGTTCGGGTGAGGGTGGGGTGGGCGAGGTTGGGGTGAGGTTGGGGTGAGGGTGGGTGGGGAGGGTGGTTTCCTTTCAATGTCTGCTTCCTTCCTGCTGTATTTGGTGGCTTGGGTTGGTGGTTTGCGGGCTGGGGGCTGGTTTTCCGACCATTTACAAGATCAGGGGTTCAAACCAGAAACCACCAATCCGAACCAATGAAGCGGAACCCGACTGGTGGTATGGCGGCTTGGAGGTTAGGAGGTATGGATTGGTTGGTATCCGATTTGCTCTCTACAAGAACCGGTGGTTGAATGTCCTAAACCACCAATCCAAATCACTAAACTAGAGCGCAACACCCTGGTTCCCAATCTCCGGCAATTGCCTGCATTGCATCTAAAAAATACGGGTTGTTTGGCGAGGCCCGCTGAATTGGGTTCAACTAGCAAATCCCTAGCTACCACCTTCCATCTAGCGAAACCAACAGGGGGTCGAAATCCCTATAAAATCCCGTTCAAATCCCTGCAGTCCTGTCCCTTGTTTGGCTTCCCACTTAGTTTAATTCCCAGGGTTTGAAAGGTTCAACCCTTTGGCTGGCATAAGCTATTCAACAAAACACCTAAACATTGCCTTGTAAATTGTGGTTTCCCTTTATTTTGGCGGAAAAGAAACATGTTTCAATTGGGAAAACTGTATCTTTTAAGGAGCCCTGAAAAAGGAGACATGGTTCCATGAATGGGAAGTGACCATCCCTGACCCCCGAGTCAAGAGGTGTTTCGACGATGGCACATTTAAGGAAAAGAAGCTGTACACTTCCATGTTAGTGTGCGGTCATCCAAGGGTGCCTGATTTATTCCTCTGGGACAGTTCCCCAATTTGAGGTAACGAAAAATGCCTCGGTCATGCCAAGAAACATCTAGCTACTTGAAACAACAGCCTAGTTGCGCTAAAATTGATTGGAGGTTCAACTGTTTGCATATTAGATGGCCATGTTGCATTTGTATGGTACTAAATTTTCGGAACTCACTAAACAAATGAAAGTTACATATTCTGAGAGCGCCATGTTTTCGATAAACAAGACAAGGTGAAGAGGCTGCCCGTTGGCCGGCAAGCCCCTTTAGGGACCCAGAAATACGAGGTTAACCGTCTGGAACCTTGATCAAAAGTGGACCAAACCGGAGAACTAAAAGGTCAAAAAGTGGATTCGCCTTGCACTGAGCTCTTGAAGAGCTAAAAATGCCGCAGGAAACTCTGACTTCTTGCAAGCAACTCGCTGTTCAGAAGTGATCCCAATGATACAGAAAGTGATCTCTCCCATATTCAGCGAACCCACATTTACTCAACTCAACCATGCACTTAAATGCAAAAAGTGACATCCTCAAATTCATACCCTTCCTAGCATTTCAAATGGAAACGCCCAAAGTACCTCTTGCGAGAGTCACCTACACATGCGACACTTGTTTGAAGGAACTGCGCCCTCTTTTCTATGAGCCAACATCTGTCAAGAACACCCAAGAGGTGGGATCAAAAGGTCGAGTTGAGAAGAACCTGTGGTTCCGGAAGGGACAACTGGAAATAACAGGTGAAGCCTTTGGAACCTCTAAGCATGTGCAGGGGTCACTAGATTTCCACTCAAAACTGTTTGTGTACTTTGCAGATGATTTCCACTAAAACGTCCACGTTTGGAGGTAACCCAAAAGGAGAAGTGGCTGGGGAACCCCCATGTTCCCAAACCCGAAGCTCGCTGAGTGGATTGCCCGGCTTTCCGCTACTTACCCCTTAAAACTCCAAGCCCTGGAGAAGTTAATCTTTTACAGACATATAGTCCATGTTACCCAACAAGTTGAACAGTTGTTGTTTTAAGAGGTAAGGCTAACATAGTCCAAACCCAAAAACGTGAAGAACGTCCCAGACGGACCTCAGGGAGAAAACTTGGTCGACGTTGGAAGGGGAGCAAACAAAGAGCTTTTTAGCAGCTAAGTGGGTGGATTTCAACCACTAAACCATAAGCAAACATGCAAAATGTTTCCCAACAAAAGCCATGTATAGAGGAGCTCTGGAGACCCCACCTGTTCATGCTTCTGCTTTTCCGGGGTGCCCCAAGGAAGGAGAAACCTTCAGGGAGAAAAGGTCCATCAGGGACAACGGAGCTCCAGCACACTCGCGGAAAAAATATGCTTCGCCAAGAGATTTGGCTGCGGGTCAAAACCACTGGGATCCCATTTTGGGGTAGGTGAATTCACCACCTATTTGAGAACGGATTTTAGTGGGGATTGGGATGTTCACCAGAACCACAGGATTTTGTCCCATGGCCATTTTTCGCCGGAGCGGCAGCACTGGCGCGGGCCCAGCTTGGCACCGGTGCAAGTTTCGCCTCAGGTCGGTCGAGTTGGGGCGGATAGATCCCCTGCCCACCAATGCAGGGGGAAAGGATTTATCCACCCTCCTCCTAACAAAGGAAAATGGAACCGGAAATGGAATTCCAGGGATCACCCGCCCTTCCCCAATTCCATGGTTTGAAGAGGTGGGGATGCGGTTCCAAAATACTTGGTGAATTCCGGCAGGTCTGGCGATTTTCTCCTTCTCCTTGCGATATTTTTCCGGCATCCATAGCTGAGTTGCTACCCCAATGGGCACTTGAACCCAGGTGTCCTTTTCTGAGGCAACCTGCATCTGCCCTGGGCAGATGCAAAGCTCAGGGTTCCATTGCTACGTGTTCTTTCAGAGATTGGGTGGGTTGAAATGGCTGTGGGCCAATATAGGTACCCTAAATGGAGCCCTGGTAAATGGAGCCAAGGACTAAAGCCTGCGGTCCGATTCCTGGCGGATATTTGTTTGAAATGTCAGGGCCATGAATCTGTGCTTGGAGTTCCCGAGGTGCCCCAAAAAGAATCAGAACCGAACCTGGTGCGCGCACCATTTTTCCTAGGTCCTCCAGTAGAGAGGTTAGAGTAAGGGTACCCCCTTTCTCTGTAATCTATTTTAGGGGAACACTCCCCCCAAAAAAAGGGTCACATGGCACTACTGGGGGAATTCGCGAAAAGCAAAAGCCGCAAAATGGATTGAGCCCCCTCGCAAAAGGCTGGTTTTACAGGAACGCCGAAGAGAAGTCAAACCCATATGCCAAACAAAAAGGGCTCCTTTAAACACATCCCAAATCAGCCTAACATAATTGTTCTTAGATCTTTGCACAGGCCCTAGCTGGCATCCTGTCAGGGACCCTGAGCCAGGTACTTGTATATCCGCTAGCAAGTCCCGTGGGGACAAACATGTCCAGCAGTGATAGGCTCCCCTGAAAGCCCACAGAGGACATAACAACCAAATTGTTCATCAACCATAAGGAACAAGAGATACCAATAGGCTGGACTAGTCTCATGAGCACACGAAACTCAGTTTCTTTCTGCTCCCCTGCTAAAAGTTTAACTTTTAGTGGTATAATGGAAAACCCATGAGTTGGCAAAAAGTTAAAGTCCTAACATCCAAGCAACATGCAACAAAGGAAAGACAACCAGGAACAATAGGGTGGACACCCAAGTCTCATATGAGCAGCTGGAGAAAATGGGGTGCCGACACTCAGCGTACCAACTTAACCAACTCGAGGGGCCTTTGCTTGCGTTCCGAGCCGCAGAAGCCTCTGCAAGGTGGGCCAGGCAGAGTTCCAGAAGTCCCGATGTCGCGTGCGGTCCCACCAGAGCCTCATGCAACCCGCCTGCACGCAAAACTCGCTTGCCAGGACACGGAAATAAACGGTTCACCTTTCGGGAATGAAGGTTAACCAGGACATGGAACCCTTTACACGCCACCATTTGTAGAAGGAAATGCTTTCGGAATTGGAGCCCCCTTGTGGGTTCCATGTGGGTGGAAGCCCGTCCTAGTATTGCATGCTCCCCTCCAAAAGTGACAAACCCGACCATAAGGCTAATCAACCATGGGGTCATTGCAAGGGCCACTGGATTTCCCCCTGAAGAATGTCTTTTGTGGCGGCTTCCAATCCTTGGTTGCTGTTGACCCCTCTGCAAGCTTAACTTTTTGGGGTTTAGTGGAAAACCCAACTTGATTTCAACCAAAAAGTTAAAGTCCAAAGCTCCAAACCCAATAGCAGTTAAGAATCAAGCTGCTTCTTTGAAGAGTGGCGTTTCTGGTGGCTTCCAATCACAATGCCACTTTTCAAGGTCCCAACGACGCCCGGAACCCGTCCGAAACCTTCCCCCAGTTCCGCTCCGAGGCTCAGGAAGCTGCGGCGCAGGCCCAGCAGCGTGCGCCGGCTGCCGCAGATCAACCGCAACAAGTCTGGCGCATCGACGCAATGGGCCGAATGGAAATGTCAGATGCTTTCGTTGGAAAAACTCTATTGCTTGCTTCCTTCCTTGTCCATTATTTTCGACCATCGTTATTAAAAAAAACAACCGATCGCTGTTTCCCCTGGGGTTCTGGTGGTTTTCTGAAAGGAAGGATCCCTGGAAAAGAATGGGGAAGTGTCCCCTAGAAAAACGGGACACAACACACACCATGGAGGCTGAGGAAGGCTAAAAATCAACATTTGGACCAACAAACAACACTGATTTTCATGAGACATGTGTAAATATAGTGGATGGACAAATCCTGCCCCAGCTGGAGTTCTTTGATTCCCTGTGAATATTGGGGCAAGCCACCTATTAACCCGTCGGGATTGTGAACATCCACAGTTTTACAACCTCCAACCGAAACATTGCACATCTACATGGCCATACACATGCAATGATCAGCTGGCTTGTCCAAAGATCCCCACAAGCTAAGAAGGTAAGCTGATTACTCGTTAGGAAACAACCATCTTTCGAGAGCAGCCAAGTTACAGTAGTTGCAAAGCTTGAGGTAACAAGCAAGGAAACCCCAAGTAACGAACCTCAAGAGTATCTGAGGGCCAACTTACATGCACCAAATCTCGGTTGTTTTCTGCTCCCCTGCTAAAAGCCTAACTTTTAGTGGTTTAATGGAAAACCCATCAGTTGGCAAAAAGTTAAAGTCCTAACAGCCCTTGGCAAAATGCACCAAAGAAATGGACTCCTAAAAAGGGGATGGGCTTTGGGGTACCCTGCAACCTCCGTCTTTCGAGATTTTTGGTGCTTGGGGGCTCCGGACTTGATGCTGCAAACCTGCCCCTGTACAGCGCGTTGGGGGGAACACGTTTGCCGCCCCAAAGAACTCGCACTGCTTCGCTTCGGGGCGGAGGTCCCAAAACCATCTGGCATTGGGCTTCATATCTTCGCATTGGTCAGTCATACTTCGCTCTAGAAAGGGAACGCCATAGCACCGGTCCGAACGGATCCGAAGCTGAATCTTTCCCAGGGCATCTACCCACTAAGGACTCACCAAGTGGGTGGCTCACATTTTAAAAAAATCCGGTTACCACGGGGTACTTTCCCTGTTTGCCCTGTTGCTTGGAGTATCTTGGAGTCTATTCTGCTCTGCGACCTTCTTCTGGGTATTGTATGTTGCTCCTTTGGGCATCTTAGGATATTTTGCCTGGGGCTGTTCTTTCCAGCTTGCACTTGCCTTTGTTTCAGGCAACCAGCCACAAAAGAAAGACGCATGGGAGATTGACGAGAAATATGAGGCGCTTTCACCAAACTCCAGAGACATTTCACCCGCGGGGGTTTTCAACCGGAACGCTTGTTCGCCCGGGGTCAACGCGTTGCGAAGGCCTGCTGCAAAGGCCAAGGCCTCCAGCGCCTCTCGGGGGGTGAGGGGGGGAGGCGAGCTTTGACTCGGTGGCATATGTCTGAAAACTCAAAAGAAAGCTTGAGCCCCAAAAGAAGACCCGGCAAAAATAGAGAGAGTTCTGGAGACCTGCTACCTGTTCCAGCTTCTGCTTTTTCGGGGCGTCCCAAGGTAGGTGTATCCCTTAAGGTCCTCAGAGACCGAATCGCCGTTTGGCTTTCCTTCAATAGGAAGCAAGGCCTGGTGGTTTAAACCAATATGCCACAGTCAAGGCCTACAATGAATACCACCCAAAGTAAAATTTATTTATTTGGGGGGGGGGGTTCAGGGGTTTCCACTACGGTCCTCAGGGGCCCTTTGCCGTGCAAGCTGCGAAATAAGGAATTTATATGACATTGCTCACTGTTAAAGGCAGATTACAAAAGAGCGGAAGTGCCGAAAGATGCCGAAAGTACTCGAGTAACAAGGGCCTTCATCGGAAGCTTAGTTTATTTCTTGTTTTAGTGTTGGGTCAATTAAAAAGTCACGGGGGCGATGTGACTTTTTGGATTTTGGCCTGAACAAAAATATGTTCTTCATAGGCGGGCATTCATTTATAGGGGGAGCGGATTCCTTGTCCGGGTCCCCCCAGGTTCAATTCCTGCCACATGGACTGCAAAAAGATCAGGAAGCTACGGCCCAGCATCCAGTTTCACCTGCTTTTTGCAGAGCCCTGGGTTTTCCGGGCTGTTGGCTTCCCTTCAAAGTCGAGTGAAGAGACGACAGGATTCTGAGATTCCCACAAAACTTGGCTGCCTCAGATTCCCTGCTAAAAGTGACTAACTTTGAGTGGGTTAAGTGCGGAAACCCAACCACTAAACACTACAAAGCCAAAAAGCAAAGGAACCGGATGGCTGGGAGCCACAAAGAAAAAGTTGGACTTGACAGAGCGAAATTGTATTACGCAAGGCGCGGAGGCCCGAATTTGCCACAAACAAGTCCGGGAACTCCAGGAGTGAGATAAATCTAGTAAGCAGCATGCTGGAAAGAACAACAAAATCTTGGCTGGGAAAATAATAATGATAATAAAAGCATTGAGGTTGGTCCAATGTCTTTTTGGTTGGTTTCTTGGTCGGACCTTGGCTGGACCAAATGAATATGTTGGTTCCTATATTTCGGTTGGATGTCGTCCTGTTTTGGTCGGTTTCTTCCTTTTGGGCTTTCTGGGAGTCCCTCAGCATGAACTACCCGATTGCACCGAATTACCCCCCTTTCGGCCTCCATGTTTTTCCATGTCCTTCCATTTGCTCTTTCGCCCCCTGGAAAAATTAAGAAACTGCTTCGAGCAGTGAAATCCATTCCCTTTAAAAACCTACCAGGGAAATATCGAGAACAAAAAAACAAACATTTCGGCAAATGAGCCACAGCCACAATCCAAATCCATTCGCATTGAAACTTTGTACCCAGAACCACGTATAGAATTAAGACGAGGCGGCCGCACCCATTTCCTGCTTGGGATCGTCCCACTCTCAAAATTACCCGGAGTGCTGATTGTGACTCAAATGGAAGCGTCTACTAGGCAAAACTGTTGGGTGATGTAGATCCCCCACCAAAAAGTTTAACTTTTTGCAAATGAAACAAACATATGCGGGGTATTAAAAAGTTAACGTCTAAAGACCCAACCCAATAGCAATCAAACACTCACTTTGGTTACATTAATTCCCCCTAAATCTCAAACCCACCTCAGAGGAGTGACTCAAGCCTCGGTCCCCCGCCCTCCCCCGCCCTCCCCCGCCCTCCCCCGCCCTCCGGCGCCCTCCGGCGCGCTCTCCGCGCTCCGGCGCCTCCCTGGGCGGCGCTTTTTGCAGCCGCTCCGACAGCCCCTGGACGCACAGGGCGAAGTCGGGCCCGCCGAAGAGAAGCTGCTCCAGCCACTGGGGCAGGCTGATCCTCGACTGCCGTGGGCTTGTTGTGTCTAGTAAGGAACGGCCGTTTCCAGTTGGCCAGCCAAAAATTGGTTGCGAAATTTGGAGCTTCAAGTTTGCTTTCCAGTTGGCCAGCCCAAACTTCGTTGCTTTTAAATTTGGAGCTTCAAAAGCAACATTTCTCTATATGTGTGTTAAAAAGGTGTCGATTCTAGATAAACTCTAGTCAAGAACCGACTGCCATGGGTTGTTCTCCGTGCGCTTTTTTCCCTGCTTGCCCCAACACCAAAAAGCACCCCTTTAAAAAGGCCTCTAAGATCGGCTTTGGGGAGAATGTGCTTTTGTTTTTTGGTCTAAAGGAGGTATCACTTATGTCCAACGTGTCCAAAGGGTCCCCTATTGATGTTTACACCCAGAATACTTTGCATGGTCGAAATCGAAATCCGCTCACAGTCACCACCGAAATAAACTACCCAACGGTTTCTCATTCGATAGCGCAAATACCAGCAAACGTGCTGGATTCGACCACTTAGGTGGTGCGAAATGGATTTCGTCCATCCACACCTTTGGATTGACTTGCGGGATTTGGTGGTGTTCCGGTTGTAGCTTGAGGCAAACGGCACCGCTTGGCAGGTTTAAGGAGAAAGCCAAAGGGGGACCCAACTTGGTAACTTGATTAGGGTCAAAATGTCCGAAACTGCAACACCAAAGCTATGCCCTTTCCATTCCCTCAGGGTTCATTGGTATTTTTTGTCACTGTTCTTGGCATGTCTTTAGCTGGGTGCATGCTGTCGATGGACAAAAAACGCATTTGTTGGCAGATGGGTTGTCGTCCCAATATTAATGGGCTTCATCAATGTCAACCGGCGCCTGCTGTGTTTCTGTCCATCCACACAAGTTTGCCTTTAAACATGTTGCCTCTTTGTTTTTGACATTTAGCATTTGCCTTTTAGTTCCTGGCTTTTTACTCGGGCGGCCATCTGGCAACCTTGTTTTCCTCTGCAGTTTGGCGTGGCCCGAAGGTTCCTGGACGAAGACAGTCGTGTTTTGCATTGGGGGCAAAAGCCAAAGTTTGGATTGGTTGCACGATATCTCAGCTTGGGACTCTTTGCGATTGCAATTTTCCCAACAAGGAATCAGTGGAAAACAAAGCAAGCACCCAGGTTAGTTTGGTGTTCATTCTGGGTCAACATTCCTTCGGCCACAGTCCAAATACCAATGGACATAACATCCCCTATCTCCAGGCAGTGGAACTGGGTCCCTTCAAGTGAACTTGTTCGCTTGGGGGACCCCCGGCATCACATCCGTCTCGCCCAGGAGTTGCCGCGACACACACCAAGTAGAGGCTGGAAGAATTGAACTTTGAACCAACTTGACTAGGGCCTCTAGTAGAGCTTAGTACAAGGGTACCCTTTTTCTGTAGTCTATTTTAGTCGGGGAACCCTCCCAAACCCACCAAAAAAGATTCTGAATTATTCGAGGCACCAGGAAATAAAAGGTCACCTTGTGGAGCCATGGCTAAAAAATGGTCCAACCAGGTGGCCAACAAATCCCCACAAAACTACTCAACCCCAAGTTGGAATCGACCTACCTAAAGCTCACTTCGGGGACTTTGTCTTAAGAGAAGGATTCAAACATCCTCAGGAATGCAGAGGCTAGGAATTTTTAGGCGGCCATGAACAACCAATTGTTTTGCTTGGTGCGCCTATTGGAAGATGCAGTTTCAATATGTCAAGTTGGTTCAATGTTCGAGTCTTCCAGCCACTTTGGTGTGTCCCGGCAACCGAGACGGCTGTGATGCTGGGGGGTCCCCCAAGGAAAAAGAGAATCCTACAACTAGGTCCCCCAGCTAAATCTCTAAAATTGTTGTGTGAAATTGGGATCAGCAGATCCTTCGGTCAGTTTCCTTGGGAGAAACACTTGTAAAATAAACTTCCTTTTTCTGTCCGTGGCCAGTACCCAGTGCGCACTTATCGCAAGGCCGATTCATTTCCCACGGGCTGCAAATTCTGAAAACCGCAGGCGGAGAATATGAGCACTCCACTGGAATGACCCTGTGGAAACCAACAGGTCAAAAGGTCGATTCGCTCGGGGCAACTGAGCCCCATCAACTCCAGTTAAAGAAATACGGGGGCGTTCCCTGCCAAAAGTGATGATTCCCCACTAAACCCAGGGCTACACCGGGGTTGATTAACTAGGTCTTCCAGTAGTTCAGGATAGAACAAGGGTACCCGATTCTTTTCTGTAGTGTATCTTAGAAGGGGAACCCTCCCAACCAAAAAAGGGGAGAAAAGGACTCGGCAAGCTTTTTTGCATCTACCATGGCTCTGCAAGGGATGGTCTCAAAATGGGCGCGAAAGGAGTTCCATCTGCAAAAAGGTGTCCTCACATCGTCTATTTTACTAGGGGAACCCTCCCAAAAAAAAGGGTAGAAGGGCACTACTGGGGGACCTAGCTGTTATGGGGTCAACATTGTTGCATCCCCCCCCACCCCCCCCCCCAAAAAAATGGAGAAAAGGGGGGGCCTGGGGGAAAGAGGGAGGAGTGTAGGGGTTATTGGGTCAAATGTTGTTATCCAACGTTTTAACACCCTTGTTTGATTTCATCCTATATTTTGTTGTAGGGTGTTAGGGGTGGATTTTCTGGGGGCCGACATTTTTTTCATTTGAAAGAGTTAGCCCTTTTAGTAGTTATTTTGTTCTGGGGTGTTGGTGGTTCATTTGTTTATTCCTATTCTTGTTCAAAGTCACTTGTTGTTTCCATGTATTCTCTCACAGTATCGTTATTGTTTTCTTGACCTTTCACTCTTAGTTGGTGCTTACTTGTTTGTTGGTGTTTTTTCATTCTGTATTTTCCTACCATGCATTTACATAAAGGACATTCCACTTTCAATTGGTTATAGTCTTTCTGTTTTTCATTTATGTCTTCTTTGTTCTTTTCTCTATATTCTTTTGCTGTTTGTTTTAATTCGTCTTTATGGTTTTCACGATAGTTCTTTTTCTGTTCTTTTAAAGTGTCTTTGTTATTCTCTCTATATGTCTTATTCTTATCTGCTATTTGTTCTTTGTTGTTTTCGTAATACTCCTTTGCCTTTTGTTGTATTTGTTCTTTGTGTGCTTCTCTATACCGTTGTTTGCTCTCCAAGCATACATTACATTGTTTTCTTCCTTCGTTGAACTTTTCTAACAATTGAAAGACTTTACATTTGGAACATTGCTTTTTGTCTGTCATTGGTCTCTATATGTTTAAGGGGTTATTACTTTAGATAAGTTTAAGGGGTGTTATAGGTTAAAAGTTCAGTATAATTATAACATATAAGATTTTACATGTTATTATTATATTATGATTATAATTTCAGCTCAGGATAATAATCTAATTGGTTTGTCTTACTTCTTTCATACATCATTTTAAAAATAATATTAATATCTCTCAATGTATTTTGAAAATTAAACTTTTTACTTTCAATAAATAATTTGATATTTTGTTTAACATCTTCTCCTTTCTCTTGACTATAACCCAACATCCATAATATATCATAAATCATGTCATATTTTTCTTACTGATTTTAAGAAACTGTTTAACACAATCGTAAGGTGGTATTTTATTTACAGTTAGAAATATTAAAATATCATCTTCTACATTTCTATTATGTATTCTTTTTATTCCCAACAGACATTTGATTAAAAATTGATTATCTCTCCAAGTTTTACAATTTTTACATATGTCTTCTTCACCATCCATTTGCCCAGACCGCCACAGGACAGAGTTTCAAAAGTGTTGGTTTTCACAGGGAAAAGAAACCCCACAGTCAGGGAAATGACTTTTGGGGAATGGGGAAATCTAACCCATAACTTTGGGAAATGTTTGTATTTTGTTGTATTCCTTGAAACCCCGTTGTCAGTGAAATCAAACACAGGGAAGGGGGAAATGACACAGAGGGAAAAAAGAACACATATTTTTGTTGATAAACAAGTGTCTGGGGAAATGAGTGACAACTTTCAAGGAATTCACTATAGTTAAATCGGGGAAATGGGCTTCGATGAAGAACATCCCTGACAGGAACCGAGTGAGCCACTGAGAGGAACCAACCGAGCCTGTCACGCTAAACATCTCTAATAATTTCATTCTTATTAGAGATATTTAGATATTAATATTTTCACATACATATCGTTGATGTTTGTCGCTTCGCTCGTGCCTTCTTATATCACATTTCCTAAAAACACCACCACATTCACATTCAATAGTTTCTTTTCTTTTTTCAAGGATTGTTTCTTTGTTTTGATGGTAATGTTCCCTGCTTTTATTACATATATGTTCTTTGTTGTTTTCTGCGTATTCCTTCCTCATATTTTGATAGTGTTCCTTATTGTCTTCCTTCCACTCATTAATTGTTCTACCTGCCACACATCTATTCACACAATCATTATTTTGAATGTAATAACCTTCTCTTTTCAATAACTGTTCTCTGTTTTCACATGGGTAGTCTTCTAATAATTCAATCTTACAGTTGTCCATTCCATATTCATCAAACAACAAACGACAGTTTGTTTTATTATTCCATTGTTCTGCCTTGTTATAATTTTGTCTATGTCTTGCCATTCTTTGGCTCAAGCTTTCACAGGTGCTTCCGATGTAGCACTTATTATAACCTATATCAGTTATTTTGTAAATCTTTGCATTTCTATATTTACTGCTATCCATTAATAACCTAATGTATCTTTTCTTTAACGCAGTTTATAATGTCCATAAGGCAGTGAATTGAAAGCATCAATGTAAAACCTTTTATTTTCATAATTACTGAGTGATTGCTTGACTTGAGACATTGAAAATAATTGATGGTTGCGACTACGAATAAAATTATATGTTATTTCATGCTTTTTGTTTTGAAATAATGCTTCGTGATAGTTTTGGTAAGTCAGTTCTTTCTTCACCTTGTGTTTCACTACACCTTTTGATTTCTTTTGTTCTTCTTCTTCACCGTGTATTGTAAAAGCATACGATTTGGGCTTTAACCCTATGAATTGT